AGGGTGTGAGTAGCGATCTGGGAGAGTGGGTCGCCTTTCCACACTGCCCGTTTGTGCTCCCTTATTCGCGAGCTAGGTGGTCGCCCGGTCTGCCTTTCATAATGGGAAGAATGGTCGCGACAGGGCAATTGATAAAAGACACCAGACTGCTCAACTATCTCCAGTCGCTCTTTTATTTGCATAATCCGCGAACGCATGGTAGCTGTCAGATGACGAGCAATACCCACAGATTCCTCAGTAAACCGGTAAAGCCGTCCACAAAAGTTGCTGAATCCGATATGACTCAGTTGAATGTTATTGGGTTGCTCGGATTATAATTGATATGACAACTAATATGAAGAAGCCGGACTCTTATGTTTTTTTGTGAGATATTAAAACCATCCGCGAAAGTTTTCTACTCCTGTATGACCCCATTGATCCCTTTTTATAAAAATTAATGGGCACTGTATGCAAGTAAGTATGCGCCCCAGGTTGGTGTAGTATTGACATCTGCTTGAAAATTATAAACGATTTTGGGCGTACAATGGAGCGAGCTGAAGCTTAGCAACAGACCCCTGTCTTGAACATGCCCAATTAAATAAGCCCCTCCTACAGGCAGTTGCGCGGACTTCGTAGCTTAAGCCCTACAGTAGCCGGTCTCCCACCAATCTTTCAGGATATGTACACCGACACTCAAAAGCGTGTTGGTAATAGTGACGTCATGGCAGCACAATGACAATTTGAAGGTTTACAGAGTTTCTCAAAGAAGCAACCTCAGCCCAAAATGGTCACACTTCAGGCCCTCTGTAGTTTAACAGTACACGGGTTCGTAAAATCTGCAATTTGTTTCCACGACTACTCTTAGAGCGGGATGTTTATCTCATGCGATATTAATCGCAGTTCTTAAATGTGTTTTTGCTTCAAAAGATTTACTAAAGTAGTTACGGTATGGCATCCGACTTTGAATGCACTTCCTTCTGGTCACTCTGTTCCGTGTGTGTTACGTGCCACTACCAACTAGGACTCGTCTTCTTCCTCCTCCTACCCTCTTCATTTACCTCGTTCTCTTTCTATTCTTCCTTCGCGTTTCCCTCCTCTTCCTATTATTCCTCCTCGTCATCTTCCTGCTTATCTTTTCCTCTTCCTTCCCTCCTTATCATAATCATCTTCGTCTTCATCATCAACGTCTTTTTCTTCATCATCATCATTGTAGACGATTGCGTTCTCCATAACCAGACGCGTAATACCGGTCTGGTTTTAATTTCTTGGATTTGCCTATACGTGTTGTCTTTGTAATTGAATCAATTACTGTAATGAGACACTGGACACGGTACTATAATTGGAAGTATCAGAAAAAGATAGATATTACGCTTACAAACAATGTCTCAGAGCTTATTCGCAGCAAGATCAAATCAGTCTGCGCGGGACAAAGATGGGAAATTCAAGCAAATAATCAGGGAGTTCGGAGAAACAAAAAGGGACGGTAATGCCCAAAAAGGGGGCAGTCAACTATAGGACAAACAGTGTCGTATTGACTAATACAAAAATGTCATGTAAGGTGCGTACACGTGCGTCCAAATAAGCACGCCTGCCTAAGTGCCAATTGAATACACCACCCCTCGCTCGATACAGCAAAGACCTCTGCAGGCGACATCCGCTCGGTTAATTGCAACACAATAATAGTAGAACACTTGAACTCGCTTCACAGTCATGTAAAAGCAACTGTCATCACCCCGCACAACACAGTCGTCTTTCTCAGGCCTGGCTGGACGCAGTCAGGATGAGCCCTGGCTTCGTCAGTGACCACTGCCACCTGAGACTGCAAGTAAGGGTTCTGTACACAATAAACCACCCAGTCTGGTAACTCTTGCCTTTTAACTTCCTACCTGGGATTCGATCTGATGATTGTAGTGACCCGAGTACAACCACTATTTAGACCGCTACAACTCCAAAGGTATAAACTTTAAGGTAACGCGTCTAGTGGCATAACTAGGCAAACAGTTATGCTCCTGTTAAATTGATTGAAATTGGGGCAACAAGATACGATAAGTGGAAACGTACATACTGCTAATATTACGACTAATATTACTACTATTATTATTACTGACGTCACCGTCAGCATCATCATCATCATCATCATCATCATCATCATCATCAACCTCAGTATTATCATAAATATAATCAACACCACCATCATCATCATCATCCTCACCATCATCATCCTCAGCATCATCATCATCATCATCATCATCATCATCATCATCATCATCATCATCATCGATCATCATCATCATCATCATCATCATCATCATCATCATCATCATCATCATTAACCATCATCATCATCATCATCATCATCATCATCATCATCATCATCATCATTATCGTCCATCATCATCATCATCATCATCATCATCATCATCATCATCATCATCATCTTCTTCTTCTTCTTTTTCTTTTTCTTCCTATGTACATTTTGGATCTCACCAACACGATTTTAAAAGAAACTCTATAACCGCTACAACAAGATGATGGTTGTTACATTTTTCCCTCGACCCTTTGACATTGAATCACAATGTACTCAATCCCGGACTGTCATTTTTCTGGATTCTAACCTGATTTACCCCCACTCCTCTTTAGGCATGTTTGCGCACAGTTTTCTAATCCCATGTTGCGCTTACTGTGCAGTAGTAATCCGGTGGCTGCATCACCAGGGAAGCATTCCGGGCCCCAGCTTTATGCCAAACCACCCAACATCTACTGCCGCCTACCGAATGGCAGCGTCTTTGCGGAGGGCCGCAAACAACGCTGCCTCGACCAACTGCTGCTGCGCATTCGAGCTATTGCCGATCCCAACATCTACACTGTC